AATGCACAATATTACCGTGATTACAGAGCACGGAAGCGAGCGGAGCAGGAAAAAGAGTCGTTGAATAGAACTAGTGATCCTTCTACGACTGCTGATTCTTCTACAATTAACGTCGCAGGTTGCGAAGTTTAACTTCTTCCGCGCGAAGGGACTCCGCGCACTATTTTTTTATTTATTTACTTTCAACTTTTTTTTTTCTATTTTTTGAAAATTTTAAGTTTTTTCTTCTTAGAGTTTTTTAAAAATTTTCTTCAGCCTTCAAAATTTTGCTCTAAATGTTAACTTTATAAATTACTGGCTGGATATATGTTCCTCGTACGGGACGAAAAAAGAAGAAAACAATCAATTAATCAGTACCCAAAAATTCTACAAACTTATGCACCGAACTCAACACCAACAACACTTAATAAAGCTAAAATAATTCAGATTTTTGTTTTATTTATTTATTTATTATTTTTTGTCCTTGTCTGCTGTTTTACGCTATTATAATACGCAAAACATGTTTTACTTGTTCATCTCAACAAAATGAAGATCAGTATTATTTGGCACTATGTTGTTGCTCGAGGCAAACTCATCACAGTCAAAATTTGCCCCAATTAAGCTATTTTCTCTTGAACTTATTTTTCGAGGGCTCTTTATTAGAACTGCACAATATTAAGTTTTAATAGGTACCTAAATATATTAATTGTACCTACATTTATAGTTTTTGGATCTACAAAAACTGCACCAATTTATTACCAAATCTAATTAAACAACATTAGCTTTAATAATAGCATGGCAATTTTTTACGATTCTCCGGATTGAATATGTATCATTTTGCCACTAGTTTTGACTTTTTGTACACAGTTAATGTTTTTATTTCAATTAGTGCATAATGACAAAATTGTTTAAGTATCATTGACGGTATCAGTAGTATGGTGAGTTTTTAACGATACTTTCCCATTAAAGGGGCCATTGGCGATGGTCAAATTTTTTTCGCCACATCAAGCACTAAACACAATATTCACTTAATAATAATCGCTCTTTAGTATTTTGAATCATCTTATTAATCAAGGAATGTGAGTGCAATTGCCCGATTTACTTGAAGATACAGCATTGACCTTGGAAGTGCAAAGAACAATAATTTCAGACAATTACAAAACAACTTATTTAACGCAGCGTAAATACATGAATAATACAAAATTAATTATAGTTACCAGTAGTCGAACTTTTTAAGCAAGATATAATAATTACTTCGAACAAAACATGAACTAATTTATAAAAGATTCTTCACAAATTTAAAAATTAATTATTCTGAATAAATTTAAAGCAGAATTGGGTTGAATTAGAACATGATAGAGAATAGGTTTAAAACAATTTCAAATAAAAATAATATCTGACTTGGTGCAGATATGGAGCAGTAATTACATCATTGAAATTAATAACATTTCATCCATTTACGGTATACCATTGTATTCTGTTAATAGTAGATAAAATGTACGATAAATAAATGTAAATAAATAAATGTACCAATGAATGTAAATGTACTATGAAAATGAATTTAATATCGTAACATATTTTACTTATATTATTTTACTAAACAATCACTAATAAAATTAGTTTAAATGCGAGCATGTTAATTTTGAACAATAAAATATTAAATATTAAAAACCCGATATAAACCAGCCGGTCTGGTCTTTTTTAAAAAAGGCAGGCTTTTTGGCGACTATGTTAATAATCCATGAGCTAATTATTGAATGCTAAACTTTTTTTATACCATTGTACAGGGTGAGCCAGTCAAACCTGCATTTTTGAAATGACTGTACAAAATAAACGGATGGATTTTTTAAAATTTTATTGTTACTATCTTCGACTGCATTAAGCAGCATTTAAGAAACAACATTCACTGCTTAAAACAGTAAGATGGTGTCCTTCCCGATTGAGACATTCTTGTAGGCGATTTTTGAAACTGCCCATCACATCACGGAGCATTACGCTGAGGAATTCTCTCGATTTCCAACGGGATTCTCCCCTTGAGTTCCCCAAGCGTTGGAGGTCGTTGTTCAAAGACTTTACTCTTCTGGTACCCACACAAGAAAAAATCGCACACTGTGAGGTCGGGCGATCTGGGAGGCCAAGAAATTGCTCCATTTCGGGATATCATCCGATTTGGATAAACAAAGTTCGTTCGCTTTCACAGCAAACGAGCGTTGTTGTTCAGACCACTACTCCATGGCGACTTAAATGCTTAGTTGTGGGGGACACAATGGTAACCTTGGTAACTCGCTCCGTCCATTTTCACGGCTCTCCCGTCCTTTTCAAAAATCCAGGTTTGACTGGCTCACCCTGTACTACTTTTTCCTTCATACCTTCATAGTTTAAAGTTTCTAAGTCTTATAGTTTTTCAGGAGCGAACAAAAACGTAACGCTAAGTTGAACACTCAAAACAGCGGTGCGGCACTTACGATTTTTTAATTTCGAGTCAATAAAAAATATTTAATTATCTTATTTAGATATTTTAATTGTTTGGAAATATTTATTTCATTATTATAGCAATTAATATTATTTATGGGACAGTTCTAGAAATTAGATAAGTAAAACTACGAATTGCCCATCCTCTGCAATGAATTGTTTATACTAAAAATTTTACGTTTTTAGATTGATTAATAAAAACTTGAATTTTGACGTGAACGCCGACTTTTTAATTATTGAAAAGATTCTTACATCACTAACAGCGTTTATTTTTAGGGCATGTCGAGAAAAATATGGTAAACCTACCATCTTCATCGTAAGACACAATGCCCCTTTCATCTACGTGTTTAAGAACATTTTCGCAGCATATCATCGCTTTTAGGTATATTAATTAAACGCTTTACTGAAATGTTTACAAATGACAGTTATTAATTAACGATGCTATGCAAATACAATATCATATTATCTTTACTATTCCACATAATTCTAAAATCTGCAAGAAGAAACAAATGAGCGATAGGCTTTCATTGGCCTCTTTTGCAAAACTTGCTTACACAGAAATGACGTCAATGCGCAGTAACCTGTTTTTTCAAGTTGTCTTCCGCGCATGGTGGTTTTTAATTTTTTAATAATTAACGATGATCATATTTTTAAAAAAAATTCACACATCATTTTGTTTTAATAAAACTTATTAAAATTCTAAATTAAAAAAATCTGTAACTTCCCTATTAGTTAGTAATTTAAAAAGAAGAATATTTTCGTTTAAAATGAAATTGCAATAACTACTCAAAAATTATAAGAATATAATCTTAGGCATAAAATAAATAACATAACGAGTCCATCAATTTCTCATAGAAATTTAGACTTCAAAATATTGCAAAAATTTTAAATGTGTTAAATTATAATTTTATATTCAAAATGTGTGACCTAAAGTAAAGTACCTGTGAAAACTACACTGGAAAACTTTTTTCCCCCTTTTTTTTCTGTTATATGAAATTTTTTTAATAGATCTTGGCTACTTTTGTATCGCTGATTTCAAATCCGCAATGGAATTCTTTCTTCAAGCTATAGTTTCCTTAACGACAGTTTTAGTCAATTTTTTGTAGAATTATACAAGTTTAAAAACGTCATATATAACAAGGGGTCACATAAATGTTGAGACGAACTTCTGAGAAAGATAGAGCACATCTTCAGGAGTAAAATTGCACCGGAACTAATACCTAGAAATGTCGTCCTACGCCGCTAGGGGTGCTTCCCTTATTATAAACAGTTTCTTCGCGTTGTTATGATCAAGTCATAATAGGGAAGTGCCCCTAACCACGTTCGATGAATCTTTCAGACATGGGTTTACATGCAATTTTAATTCTAATGATGTGCCCTAACTTCCTTAGAAGTTTGTCTCAACATTTACGTGCCCCCCTGTGATACATATTGTTTTTAAACTTGCACAAAAATATATCGACCAAAGATAGACGAAAAATGTCATGATAAAAAAATCTGTAGCTTTAGGAGAGAAAGTATAATCTGATTTGAAATCACCCCACCCGAAATAGGCAAGATCAAGTATTTCCATGTATGTGACGAAACATTCATTCAACAGTGTTATAAAACAAAGCTGTAAAAACTATTAATATACACAATTAAAACTAGTTATATTGTTTCATATGAACTACAAATAACAAGTAATAAAACTTGTTAAGTAGTAATAAGACTTTCAATTTGTTTCATTGAAAAAATTGCATTCAAACGGTAAAATAAAATTTTAATGAACTAAATAATTAAGATTTTTCACATAAAATTTAAATTTTCGCATTATTGCTTTTACCTTAAAAGAATCTGCTTAGAGAAATATTACAAAGTTTTTCTTTAAATGATAATCACTATTTTAAATAGCAATACATAAACTAACTAAAAGTTTTACTTGTTTCTAATAAATAAAACACAAAAAAATTAAACTCAATAGCATTACAGCCCATAAAGAGTCAAAGCTACTGTGCTCATCCCACTTTTCTTGTTTGTTGTCTCAGGGGTACCGATGCAGATCTTCCATTTACGTGGTCAGCCGAATGCTGAACCCTCAGTGTTTATTCCCCAAGCATGATTATTACTCATTTTATCGATCCACTGAAAGGATGAAAGACTGAATCAACCTTGACAGGTACGAAGATCGAACCCCAGACCTATGGCACGAGCGCACCAAAGCGCATCATTCAACCGCTGAGCCTCTTAATCAATATGTTAAAAATATGACATTATATATTTTCAAATTTCTTTTTCCAAAAGGAAAAAATGTCGCGTATACGAATTCGAAGATGCGGATGAGAACTTCTTTTGCTAGTTTTTCGCATGTAAATATATTCCACTAATCAGTTCTCATCCGCATCTCCGAACTCACATGCACAAATTTTTTCTATGCAGGGTGAATTGCCCCCAAAATTTAGAGCGACGCTTCCTAAGAAAGTGAAATATTGCGTGTGTTTTGTTTAGTAGAAATGCTGCTGAAAATTTTTTCTTCAATCTGTTTAAGAGATTAACTGTAAACTGCTGATTAATCGAACAGTCAGCTGCACAAAAACAATCACAAAAACACGTAAATATCAAGAAACTTGTAGACAAGAAAGCCAGATTTAAGTTAAATCTATTTTAAATACACTTGCTTTTATTTTATTTTAAAATGGATGCTGAAAAATCTTCATTAAGTACCTCTTCTGTAGGTCGCTGTTCCAAATTGTTTTTATTAATTGTTTCGTTAAATATACAATCAAAATACATTTCATTTTTAAAATTGCCATTATAATATTAGCCTTTCTATTACTTATTAAAACTTACGGGGAGATTTCCCTATTGTGATCTGTCGCAGAATAATCGCCAAGTCTTGGAAACTTCCGGGCAGTAGCCCTCGAGAAACTAAAAAAAAAACATCACAGAAAGGGACCAACTCGAAAGGTATAACTCGTAGCCACCCTCGGGCGAACATCTACATATTTTTTTTAAAAAATTTGCAAGTTTAAAATCTATTTGCCACCTTGGCGATTGTAGTTGGCGTAACAGTTCCCGATACTGAAATATCCAACATACTTACTATATATATCATTTTAAAATTTTTAACTTTTGTAGCTCAACTATTCGGGGATATTTCCATATCGCTCTCCGGAAGTTGCTTAGACTTGGCGATTATTCTGCCACAGATCACAATACGGAAATCTCCCCTCTAGGGTGTCTACACTAATTGGTTAGTGAAGACGGATTTTTTTAAGAAGCAAAATCATACACAAAAAAGTACTTTCTTTGAATAAATATAGCTTTTTATTTTCTATGGGTACGAATTTTTAACCCCCAAAATATATGGAGTAGCTGGAATCTCGGAAATGTAATCTCTAATGATAATCAAAAAATGTTGAGTTGTAAAGTATACAAACTTATACATCATTCTAAAGAATGTATTTTTATATTGCAAAATACAAATAGTTCTCGAGAAATCGAGTTTTAAGAAAGTCAGATATTTAAAATTTGATTTCTCAGAAATTATTCGACTGATTTTATTTACAATTTGTAATTTGCCTTATGGAATTATATTCTTTAAAATGAAATAAATATTTATACACCTTACAATCAGGGGTCTGTTTAATAGAAATTTGGGTCCGTTAACGGACCCTTCACAAAATATTTTAACTTAAAAACGGACTCTTCACAAATTTGTTTATCTTCATTATTATTTTGTTAATCGAATAAACCCTTTCCAGAGCAGAAAAGAAGAAAGATGGATGTAAACGAATTAAGTTTTGTCTTCGGCAGACGATTCTTCAATTATTCGTCCGAAATTAATATTCTGCGTTCAGCAGTATAGGCTAAATACCAAATATTTGTATGTTGCATCTCTAATTTAAAAGCAGCAATTGTTGTTTATTTTTTGAAATTTAATTTTTTTAATCATAATTTTACAGTGTTGAGCATAATCTTGTATGTCTTTAAAATTTAAAAACTCTTTGAAAAAATTTTTTTTGAAATAACGGACCCTATTTGCACAAATTCATAAAAGCGGACCCTGGTTGAAAGAATGTGACTAATTTTTTCACAAAAAACGAACCTTTCACAAATTGTCTGGACAGACCCCTGACAATTCAAAATTTTTTTTGTTTATCCTTAAATAAAATAAAAAATAATTATTAAAAATTATTTTTTTGCATGAAGTTTGGAGTAATAAAATTTTTAATTACATACAAACAGGGGTCTGTCAAAGCCAAATTTACTACCGTTTAGCGATACCTTCACAAATTCAACTTTAAGTAAAACGGTAGTTTCACAAAATACTTTTTCTAAAATTTTATTTTTGTATCCCGTAAGAAACAATAAATCCATATTTTGTGTTGATTTTTTAATATAATTTTTAATTTTCACAAATTGTGTCTAAATTTTCCCAAAATAGGTGCTTCTCAGAAAAACCTAGACAGACCCTTGACAAATGTGTTTCAATTTGCTTAAAAAGTTCTCAAGATATAACAAAATAGACAAAAAGTGAAATTAGCATTAAAGGGTCCGAACTTTGGACTGCTCTCCTAGCCAAACTATTATTTATTTCCCAGCTTGCAACTATACCCTATATTTTGAGGGGTCAGAAATTCCGATCCCTCGAGAAAAGGGTGTGTTTATTCAAAGAAAGTCTGTTTTTGTGTCTAATTTTGTAACTTATAATATTGTTTTCACTATCTAATTAGCATATCTGTGGTCATACCCTCAAACCATTGAAACTGAATCCTAGTATGCAAAAATCTGATCATTACATCAAAAGTTATTCAGGGCAGTTCAATTATTTATTTGCGCTCTGTATACATATCTGATGACCTTATACTTTTTATATTATGATTAATGCTTGTTTCAATTATTTTTAATTTCTAATTGGATAGAATCTAATATATGATGTTGATGAGATACTGAATGTGCTTTACTGGTTCCATGTTACAGAATTCTCCAAGTTTTATATTAATTTATTTTTCTCTTTAAAAAATACTTATATGACATATATATCTTATAATTTCTCAATTTTATATTGTAATTGTTCATTTCATTTAATTTTATTTTCTATTTTGATAGAAGTATGGGATATTGTGTTTGTTATTTAAGGGTATTTTATTAATTATGAGAAGTTTTTATGAAAGGAGCTTGTTTTTGTAAGTTTCAGGATCTGTTTTATATAGTTTTATTTATTTGTAAACTTTCTTTTTCTGCCGAGATATTAATATTTCAATATTTCTGTCTTTTTAGCTTATAGATTTAAAAGCAGAACTTCAGAAAAAATATGATTCCTTCAGAAGTTTGAAAGTCAAACAAAAAGCAAGTCAGTTAACAAAGGTCACTCCTTTAAAAAATAAGGTAAACTTTCATAGTTAACGATTCTTAAAATATAGTTTCCTTTTTTTAACAATCACTGCATCAACAACCCCGAATGCACCAATCCAACATGTCACTTGCCTAACCAAACTTCGTTTAAATTGGGGAGTATCTTTAGTTAGCTCTTGTGGCAACTACCAAGTGTGTCGCTGGACTACAGAGATGCGAGGTTAACTTTCTGATATTTAGTAATTTGCATTTCTTAAATATAAATTTCCAGAAAAAATTTTATGTAATTCTTATTAGCATCAATATTATGTAAACTATTATAGGCTGTGGTCACTTGAATCAGTTCATTTTCTCTTGTTGGTCAGTCGCTGTTTTGCTATTTTAGTGCTGTTGCTAGCTTTACTTTTTAGTTTATCTCGTAGAAGAACATTTTTGAACTTAGTTTTGTGCACTCATTACTCCAACAAAAGGTGCCATGAGAGTGAAATGGTTAAAGGGGAGTCAATGTATGATTTAACTGAACACTCTTCAGCCACATTTCTTGAAATTCCTGAACAAAGAGTTGCCTGGTGACATTTAGAGTTACTAAAAGTTGTCTACAAAACTTTGATACTATCTGTGATTGTCTTTAAACAAAGAACTGATACTGCTTATTGTTGTTCATTAAAGTTAAATATCACTAATATCATCTGCATAATTAATTCTGCTGCTTATAGTTCTTGCTGGATTAATATTTTTGTATCATCTAACTATGGTGTTCTTGTTAACCAATGCATGTAATGTTTCTTTACTATGTAGTATCGAAAGTTTAAAATATAACTTTATGTTATTTTTCCTGTAAATATCTCCATATATTTTGGGATTAAAGCTGTTATAATCTCATTATTTAAAATGAACTTGTTTAAGCCATTTTTTTTAAATTGATAATCAGTATAATTCCAAATTTTATTGTATTTATTTATTTATTCGCTTTTTTTTTTTTTTTTTTTTTTTTTTTTTTTTTTTTTTGCTTGTTTATTCTTTTATAAGTAACTTTTTATTTGCTCATCTTCTTTGCACTAATTATTTACACAGTGCATGACGAAAATAAAGAGTTATGTGTTTAATGTTATGGAAGGAAATTTAAGCATCAAGGTTTAGAATTTCAACAATATTAAGAGAGTGATAAAATATTTTAAATTAGTATAAATTTATATTGCCACTGACAAACATAAGAAAGATGTGGGTCTCTCCTAATTTCTAATTTATTTAGTATTTATTTTTTGTATTATTTATTAAAATAATATTTTTGTTATATGAATTTATATATCATGCAATTATATTGGTTATTTATTTATAATATTCAGTAATTATCAGTATGTTTTCTCTGATAATATCATATTTGAATTGTCACAAATTAAATTATGTATGCATGGATATACACAGTTAAAAGAAATGCATTAAGCAATTATGTATTAAATCTTTTTTATTGCAATTTCTTTTAAACTTCTTTTTTAGAGTTTTTAAAAAACTTTTTTCTGCATTTTTAATACAAGCAATTGTAGAAAAGGAAACAGTCTATGTAAATTGAAAAATGAGTTTTTGTGTCTAATATCGTTAGGAATGTTTCTTTAATTAATAAACGAAAAGCTTTTTCTTATGCTTATCAATTTAGGAAAAAAGCTTATCAGTTTTTAAAAAAATTACTTATCCATACAATATTTTTTTTCCTGTTAGTTATAATTTATAATCCGAGCTGAAATGCCATAATAATAATTTCAGAAATCTTTGATAGCTATGCACCTAAATTTGTTTCTCAAATCAAATTATATTAATTTTCAATGTTAAGAAATTATTTAATATGCAAATTCAGTTTTAAAAAGAAATCTAATAATAAATTTGTTCATTACTGTGAATTTTTTTAATGATCAACAACTTTATGTTTATTGATAATTTCTTTTGAAAAAGTTGTCAAACTTAAAGGATATAGAAAAAAAAATAAAGTAGTAAATGTTTATTTCTCATAAAAATTTATACTATATTTTAATAGGGTGAAATAGTGAAAGAAAAAAAAGTTAAGCAACAAGAACCAGCAGAGCCAAAAATTGATAATGAAGATCTTGAGTTGAAAAAATCAAGGTAGAGATTCTCAGTTTTTATTGACAGCTTTAATTATTATTTAATTATATAATTTTTTCCATTAGCTTCTTAATCTTTATTGAGAAAAAAATCAAAATCTGTATTTATTAGTGCATGTTTTAATTTAACACTACTGCTATTCTACTCAACCATTCTGATTAAAATTAATCTTAATTTGTCATATTTTAGTTAGTGTTTACATTTAAAATCTATATATATATTTCTTTTACACAGCGACAAAAAAAGCCTCATTACAACTCCCCGAATGGCAACGCTAGAAAATCGACCAATGATTGTCGNACTCCCCGAATGGCAACGGTAGAAAATCGACCAATGATTGCTGCTAAAAATGTTCCATGCCAAATCTAGCTGAGGTGGCTCAACATATAGCGCTTTTAAAAACGGAAACTGAAATAACCAGAGAGAGCATTCTCACCAAATGTGATCTCTTCCGAAACTCACCCTATCAGCTGCACAATCTCATACTATTATTGAAGTATAATCAAAAGACCTATAAAATTTTGTGGATTTGCAATGTACCTAAGTTAGTAGCGAGCGAAACGAGCTTGATTTGCGAAGCAAACCATATAAGATTGCGTACCAATTTTCGGGGGTTGGCGAGCATTAGTGAGCTGGGGGCGCAGCCCACTAGTATTGGAGAAAAATTTATAATTTTAAAAATATATATTAATTAATTGCATTACTATGCAAATTTAAAAAATGTGAAAAGAGCATGAGTAGTGAAATAAATAATTAAAAATCCTACTATAATTTTGATTCTATCCTATAGTGAGGAACCTTCTATAGCATTGAAACACAGAATGAAGTACTTAAATTTATTGAACTTCTGTGTTGCAATGTCTAACTATAGAACTATTACTGACTCTACTATATCTACTCTATAGACTCTACTATATCTACTCTATAGACTCTACTATATCTACTCACTCAGATCAACGGGTTCATAGATCTGGTCCAACTTCGTCAGGCCAGATGAGGATAAGCAACAACAACAACTATTATAGAACCTAAACTATGGAAATTATTATGTGTTTGATTGACATTATGTGTACTCTTTTCAAACATTTAGCTACTTACATATAAAGTTAACCCTTATTTAAGTAATTAAATCTGTATTATTATCTGTAATTTTTGACATTTTTTATTTTTTTTAACAGGTTAGCTTTGGAAGCTAAAGCAAAGCTTTATGAAAAGATAGTGTCTAATAAAATTCTTCTTGGTAAGTCAAAATTTATGAAATTTAATCATATCACATTAAATTAATAATCTTACTGTTAACCATGTTTTTGAAATATTTGAAAAATATTAATTCTTAAATTTACTTTTACTGTCATTTTAATATTATGTCAAATTGTATCATCTTTGTTTTGATGTCTCTGCCATTTATTCTAGTGATAATGTACTTCTGCTATACTAAAATGTGTTTAGGTTTTAATAAAATTTAACTATTGTGGTTTTTAATCGTTTTTTATCAATTTTAATTTTATCAGACGGGATAACTCTCGGTATTTTATTATATTTGGACAAATGTTTTATGTATTTATAGATGAAGAACAAAAGGATAACTATTTAGTTGACTTTGAAAGGAAAGAGCTTTATAACCCAATAGAAAGTGGTAGCAATGAGACTAAAGATCCACATATTGATTCTTCCAACCATGATTCAAATAGGAATTACTATGAGTAATATTTCACTTTTTTATACCAGCATTCTTTTATTGTGTTTCATTTATTTAGAACAAATATTTTCAGACTACATTATCAGACAAATTTAGTTTCAATTAACTTTTCTTCATTCATTTATTTCATCAGAAAATATGGTGAGAAAAAAAAAGAACAATGTGAAATAAAGTTATTATTTGTATGTTGCTTTAGAAATATGTTGAAATGTAAATGTTAAGTTTGCGTTTATTTTAAAATTAGAGGGAAACAGCTTTAAGCCACCCACATTATAAACTTCTTAGTTTGCAATTTCTGGTTTGACATATTTTTAACAATTTTTCTAATAAAATAAAATAATCTAATGAGTAAAATAATTCTTTTCTAAATTCTGTATGTTTCATATTGTTATGTGTTTTATATTATTCAACTCTCCTTAAAACTTTTTTGTTTATTTCTGAATAGACAAAGTATGAAACCAGAAAGAGTTGCTGTTTCAGATAATTCAAAAAGTCAACTCACAGAAGACCCTGATCAACCAATACATTACCAAAATGTTCAATATAATGGTAATTTCTTGAAAGCAAAGTTACTTCACTATTTTATTCTCAATCTATGTTGAAATTGAATTACTGCATTTATTTCTGTTAATGAAATTTTAAATCACTTCATTACATTGAAAAATGAATTAGTTTTTTAAATAATGTTTTCAGTTAAGTTATATTTAAAAATAAGGAACTTTTTCTTGTAAAAAAGTTACATTAAATGTACTTCATTCTTTTTTGTGATAGTTAATATTTAATTTTTTTTTAAATTTGATTATTTATGTTTTAGCTCTTACATTGGTTTTTCTCATTAAACAAATTTTTGAGTGTAATTTTTGTGGCAGTTTTAGTTCTAATTCTTTACAATAGTGGTTAGTAAGATGTAGTTTCTTTGTATAATTTAAGTATTATGGCTGTTTCAGATACATTTTAATTTGGATATGATGTAGGGATATTTATCCCAGAAAAATAAATAAAATCGTTTAGGAAAAATTGATTTATTAAGTAAATATAAAATAAAAAAAAGAAAATTCCTTAAAGGGATCAAAAGAATCATTCTCCTCACATCTAGAATATTTGTGGTAAAGATATAAATTCAATGGGTGGGACATCCGTTAGTGAAGAATTTGAATTTAAAAGTAAGTGAATTGTTCCGAATGGACAGTTAGGAGCATGGAAAGAGATCCATGGTTGGCAATTTATTGAAAGATAACATAGCCAAAATTAAAGCCGACCCCTTTAATCAATATTAAATTTAAAAATGATTTGGCGGAAGGTAATCACCAAAAAGGCAGTGAGAATTAGTATAACCATGTAGCTGAAACATTTTTATGGTGAAAAATAAGCAATATAGAGTTATAAATAGTTTTCGAATTAGTCCTGACATTGAATTAATGAGTCTTACATTAGTATTGAAATAAAAGGTAGTCGTTACATTGATTGTTAAGAAAAGAATAAGATATTTTATATTCGCTTTTTATAAAGTGTAATAAAAATAATTGTTTTAATTTAATTAAAATTCAATTAAGAATGATAAAAAAAATAAGTTAAAGACATTTTAAAAACTAGAAAATATATAATGTCTATTGTGACATCACAATAATATTAGCTATACAGAAACTATTTGATCAAAAAATATATCATGCTAAATTATTTTTTTAATTTTTGAAGATTTGTTTTTGTAGATGAAATTAGTAATTTTAATTAAATTTTTGTCAAGCTTATGAATAAAATGATTCTTTTTTTTTCTAAATAGAAATTAGAGACCATGGTACAGGATATTTTGCTTTTTCTGAAGAAGAAGAGAAGAGAAAAGAACAGATGGAAGAATTAAATTCTATGAGACAAGAAGTTAGTTATTATGTTTCAAATCAAATGAATATTGTGTAAAAATATAAAAGTGACTATTTCTTCGATATCTAAAAAGTTAACAGCTGTTATTTTATGATATTTGTCATAACATCAAAAAATTTCAATTTAATTAATCAATGAATTTTGTTTAAATATGTTTCCATGGATTGAAATGCTGTGTATTTTTCAACATTTATACTTTTGATAAACCGTTAAATTAATATTTTATCACCCAGTTAATCTAATATACATTATTACTGTAAGTCTTTATTTCTCATCGTAATTTTGAATGTTCTGAAAAAATTAATAGTTATTGTAACTTCTTCACTTCTTAAAATTTTTATTAGAACAATATTTTTACAATTCACTCTCAATATAATGATCTTTGTTATTCAAATACTGAGTGTACAAAAATTATGCAGATATTGAATTGAAATGCCTGGCACATTTAAACTAAACATGTGGAATACTTAACTCGTAAATTAATTTTAAAAAAACAGCACTCCCTATTTTATTTACTTTAATAATTTATTTTTTTAAAAAGTATTTTTTTTTTTACACTTTCTTATTAATAATATTTCCTAAATTTGTTATGTTTTTAGAGATAAGAACATTTATTGTTGAAGAAAGTTTGTTTCTCTTCTTTTTATTTGTTATTAAGTTGTTCTTCCCTTTATTGTAAATTTCTTTTCAAGTATATTTTTAACTTATACTCTTTCAGACTGGAGAACAAAGGTTAAAGAATGAAAGACTACAGAAAAAAAGAAGAGCTTTGATACAAGCTCGTTTGACAAAAATATGTGAAAGAAGAAACATTGATGTCTCTGTTGTGAAAACCTATACAGAAGAATCGGGTAAAAATTGCTTATCTAAAACAAATTTTCTTTTTTTTTTCTTTCATAAAAAGTTTTATTTTTTCCCAACATTTTTTTCTTACGAAATTTTGAAACATTAGCTAAAAGACTCTGAATTTTTAAAAGAAAAAATAATTCTAAAGAATTATCTTTCATGTTTGTTTATCTCTATACATAGTTCAAAGCTTCAAAGGCTTAGTGAGATTTTGAAATAAATGTTATTAACCATACTGTAAAAAAAAAAAGGCGCAATGCACCTATTTTTATAACAAAAAGCTCTTTTAAACATACCGTAGATATAAATGTTGAACCATTTTTGAAATACTTATGAAATTCAACTTTTCTAAACTTGAATTGTGCTTTACTACAATTTATAAACTTATATCAATTTTAAGAAATAAAAATGGTTTTAAGGTTAAGAATACTTGAATCTCTCACATAAAGTCTGAAATATTAATTAAAATTAGAAACACTTATAATTATATATTGACATTAAATATTGGTATTTATTTAGTATACATCTTACTCTGGTGAGTGATGAATTTGAAATAAAAAAATTGGCATAGAGCTTGGTCACTTTCAAAATTAATTTTTATAACATATAAACTTAAATGATAGCCACGCAGAATGCACAGCACTACTATATTTAAATATTCTAACTCTTTAACCCAATCAAATCCTTATACTTTAATTAGTTTTAACCAATACATTAGCCTAATTTTTTTCACCGTCTTGCTTGCACAAAAAGTACTTTGATTTCAATATTAACTAGTTTCAAGACATGTCCACAATATTGTATTGAATTTTAGTAATAATTTATTTTAGCATAGTAGAGAGCAAAAATATTGAATTAATTTTCATCTCTGTCATGAGATAATATAAAAAATTTTAAAAAAATCATCAATGCTCCAATGCACGTAATACTACTTCCTCACACATCTCTTGACACCATAACTTTAGTTTTGTGTAATGTATTTAGACTATTGCTCAGAAAAGGCAAGCTCCGTTACCAATAATAGGTATTAAAAAGGGGGCACCATAGCAACATTTAAGTTTAAAATTTCCACAGCTATTTTAGAAAAGATTAAAAATTAACTTCCTCATAACTAAGTTTTTATTTCTCTACAAATACAAAAGTATTTTAAATTACTACTTAACTATAGCTAACTATTCAACACTACTTTTATTACTTATCACAACCTAAAGAAATTAATAATATCTATAACGTTGCCAATCAATAGAGAAAAACCAGAGTTTATGGTGCTCCATNATATACACACACAAACATAAGTATATTGAAAATTGAACATTTACTCAAATAAAGTCGAGAAAGCATTTTATGAGGCATATGGTTGTGGACTGGATAACATGAAATTCTAGAGCAAATATAATAATTACATAAGTCGGATTTGTCAAGTCTTCTCAGATTCAGTGAAATCGTTACACCTGTTTTGTTTTGCTGACACAATATTTCCTCTAATTCTGCTTATCACCTGCTGAATTCCTCCATTTCTTTTAACTGACTTATCACCGGTGTCATTTAGGTTGTTTCAAAAACAGACAGGGATCAAAATTAACAGTGACCAGTTGGTTAGTGACCACTAAAATAATACTTGGACGAACATCTAATAATTATCAATGGTTCACTGAACCAGAAACCATTCACTGGTAATTGAGTAGTAAACATGCTGGATTAAATTTATATTTGACGTTTTATTCCATTTTTCTGTCTCAAATTAGCATATATCATCATAAATAGTGAATGGAATTACACATTCTTCATAATTTTACATCTAATCTGCTTTAAAAGCTTTTTATTTACTTTTATTAATATGATTAATTTTAAAAGTAAAATAATTACATAACATTTAGTCCATACATATTAAAACAATGAATTTTAATTTATATAAAGCTTTATTTCAATTTTTCAATTTGTTTACAAAAACTATAAATTGTAATTGTTAAATTTATAATTAATAAATTATTATAAATAATAATTAATAAATAATTATAAATTCATAAATTAGGCATATTTTTTAATCTACTCGCAGCATGCGAACAAACTAGTGAAAATGTTTGTGGACTAGTGAAATCTTTTAGTTACTGTTCCTTAAGACCAGTAGTTTCTTCTCCTAGTAAATGTATTTCATTTCTGGCATCAGTTGAAACAATTCATTGCTGTTAACTAACTATATTATTTTAAATAATAGCATTATTAAAAAAATCCTTGCTTTATTTCATTAATTTTTTAAAACTTATTTTTTTATAGAAACAAATGAAGACTTGGAAGCTTCTAAAGAGGAAAAAATTGATCTCTCTGAAATACCACTACCAGAAATTAAACAAGACTCAGAGACATTGGAAGATCCAACTGTAAAAAAGGGACCTAAAATTCGACCTTGGGATATGGGAAAAGATAATTTGCAATATTATATTTCTCAAAAGAAGATTAGTGAGTTGAAATAACCTCAGTAAGAAATAATACATTCTATTTCTGTAAGATTTAATTATTACTTTAAATTCCTTTTTCAGAAACCCAAAATCAGTGGATTGAAGAAAAGAGAGAAGAACGACCCACGGAGTTTGCCCCTCCTACATTTTACAGATAGCATGTCATAACTTTCTCTTATATATTGTACATATCTATAGATAAAAATAAACACGTATAAATACAATTTTTGTTTTTTAATTTATCTTATTATTATTGTTGTTAAATGCTTAAAACTTATTAGTCTATGTAGTAAAAAGTAAGAAATTTTATTTCAAAATTCTTAGCTACTATAATCAAAATAGTATATTAAAACTTACTAAATATCAGAAAAAAGATTACTTTAGTATTTCGCTTAGTGCTATATTGGTCCCAATTTTTCCCCCATCGCAAGCAAAAACAGCAATATTAGTGTTAATTTGTTTTATGTTTATTTTTATTTGACATTAACTGTCTTGTTCTAAAATCACTATTGTTATTTGATTAGCGTCTCAAAAATGAAGTACAATTTATGTACATCTCTATATTTTTATGCAAAAAGAAAAAAAAAGATCATCAATAAATTTAGGTTTATTTCTTTTACTTATCCAAAAAAAGTTTTTTCTATTAACAATGTTGTAAAAATCAATACTTAATCTCTTTTATTCATGTTTTTTTATCCTTCCTAATTTAGCATTTTTGAATTATTTTTCTTTTGAAGAAGCAAATGAAGTATTCTATTGCAATTTTTTGTTATAACCATTAAATTGTTTCAACTCTTTTTTTTTTTTCAGATTAAAGTAACTATGGAATTAAAAATAGTATATTTTATTGTTTTTTTGCGATAAAATTTGCCTTTATAGTACTTAAGTAAAGCAAATTATGCTTTTACTTAGTTTAGTAATTTGTCCTTTTTAGAAGTAGTCTGGTACATGTTTACCGTACCAAAAAACATCCTGGATTTTTACTTTAGCCCAGTAAGAGGTCTGCTATTTGCATAACAGAATGCAGCATTAAATAAAATAAAATACAATTAAAATATTGTAAATGATTGCTGCATATATTTTGCTAGAAAATGTTTTTTAATACAAAAAGGAATAAAATCATAATACAGTACAAATTTGTTTACAATTTTACTTTGCCGAGTGGTTAGTCAGTATCTGTATCCTTGCTATCTGTGTGTTGTCCTCTGTTGTTAAAAACATTAAAAAATTTCAAACCATATTGGCTAAGCAACCCTGGTACAGCCGAAAAGATATGCAGATTTTCTAATTTATAAGTTGTTGTTTTTTTAATTAAAGTATACAAATATTTCCACACTGCATGTTTCTTACAATTTAAATTGTCTGACACAATGATATATGCTTATAGTAATATGATGTAACAGCAGTAAATATTGCAACCTATGTGTGTACCCAACAAGCAGTTTGAATTTTACCTTGGCATAATTATAAGCAAAATCCACCTGTCCTGTCATGCCACTTGACTTCAACTTAAGTAAATTATTTTTAACAAATTGAAAAGATCAATCTCGGACATCTTTATAACAATGCTATTTATATACATTGAACTGATAAGATATTTTAGTTCCAACATCTACTGATGATCTCACCTCACTAATTAATTCTGGGTGCCCTTCCACATCTTTCCAATGTCTGCAAAAATTATGACCTTCCTCAGGAATTTTTAATCTTATGGCAACATGAATAAACATTTAGACAGATGGAACTTAAGCTTTACATGCAATCTTTCTTTCCTGCATCATAAACACTATTGTTATTGTTATGTATTTTCAAAAGCATGTATTAAAATTTTAAATTTTTCTGTTGGCCTGGTGTAAGCCAAGTCACCAAACAATTTAGTTCATTGCCAAAATAATACTTAAAAAAATTCATGAATAAATATCTATATGTATGTACAACATAAAACAATGTCTAAAAAATAGTTGGCAAGTTTTGAGTCTGGCTAACAAAAAATACCAGATCTTGTTGTCAATTTGTTTTTGGGTTTTTTAATTTTAAATTCTAATAAGATATGTAGTCTTATTTATGCACAAATCTTACTATATTTTAACAATTAATGTAAGCTTCAATTTGGAGATAATTATTTTTGAAAATAAGTTTCAAAAAATCTCATTTTTAATTTTAAATTTCTATTTTTTAAGTCATTAATGTTTTCTATTAACAGGGTAAAAATGAACAAAATAGTTTTTATTAGCCTAAAGCATAAAAATAGTTGCCGAAAACTATGAAAACAGTTACCTAAATAAGACAAACAGTGCTAAATTTTTAAATCAAAAAAATTTGTATATTTGCAGAAAATTAAATACTTATAATTACTAGAATTGATTCAAAAAAATAATTTTTCATTAAAAAAAAACATACTTTTTCTAAAAAAATTTCCTCTTTGTGAATAATTGATTTAGCAAATATGTATATATTGTGAAAAGTGATTATTAAAATTCGAAATTCACCCATCGTAATATCATATTAAAAATTGGGTTTTTTAAAATCATGTAGAATTTCGTAGCAATAACTGTTGAAAAGGCGATTGAGAAACAAAATAGACTCATAATGGAATCAGTGCAAATTGAGATATTAAAATGTGAAGACTCAAATTTGTAATTCAAAATTTACAACATTGTTTATTTTTTTAATAAAAAAAATTCATTGTGTTCAGAAGTTCCCGCAGGTTGTCAACCCAATTTATGCTAAAAAACATGGCTAAGAATACAGAAAAGTCTCCTTTTCCTGAAAATAATTGCTTTTCAGAAAAGAAATTAGTTTATTCTTTAGAGTAGTAATATAGGCAGAGTGAGTGAGTCAGTCTATTGTTGGAGCTCTTAAAACTTGATACAAGCGATGGAAACTTATAAACATGTGGTAATACATGTAAAGTTTTAATTGTTAAAAATGACTAAATAAAATTTTAACATGTAAATTGAATTTTCTTTCATACAGGGTTGCCACAGACGACTATTTGCAATTATTTTTGGTCTGAGGCAACTGACAACTTTTTTGCCTTTGTTGTTTCAAATAACATAAATTCAATAAAACATGTGAGCCATATCTGTATCACATTATTAAAACATTTCAAAAATATATAAAGCAATTAAATCTTAAAATGATCAATTATTTATAAATAATGAACTTTTATTTAAAGTTTTTTTTTCCTCATCTTACAAATACAACAAATTTTCAATTGGGGATCAAAATTGGCTACAGGTGGCGCAAAGCAGAACTCTCTATCTATGGCAACTCTTTACATGTTTTCACCATTAGCATGTGAATAGTCATAAGGAAAGGATGTGCGTTAGTTTCTATCATTATTTTGAAATAGATTAAAAACTTCTAAGTTAGGAAACTATTTGGAACTGCATTAAACATAGTCCTAAAAGAAATCATCTTGGAAATTTTTGACACTTAAATATGAAATATATTATAGAAGAATAAAATATTTTAGTCTTATATTTGCATACAACTGAGAACAGAGGGAAAGGAGGAGGGTCAAGACAAGGATTCTTCCCCAATGGCATATTTAAGCATAATATATGGCATATTTAAGCTAAACTTTAGATTAGATACAATGGAGGCAGTTTATATTTTTAAAATTCTGGGAAGATTTCCATATTGGTATGTGTGCCAAAGTGATCGACAAGTTTTAGTAATTTCGGAATAGTGGGAAGTGAAAAAACAAAGAAAGAAATATCACATAAATGGATAAACTTGAAAGGTCAAAACTCAAGCGAATATTTGGGAATTGCTATCTGTTTATGTCAACTACAATCGTCAAGCTGCCAAAAGAATTTTTAACTTGCAAAAACTTTAAAACACGTGTCTAGGTTATGAGTTATGCCCTTGGAGTTGGTCCCCATCAGAATTTTTTTTTTCTTTTTAAGTTTTTCATGGGTCATTGCCAGGAAGTTTCTAAAATACCAGCATAGAATCTGCCCATACTGATATCTCCAATATAAGCTAGAGTGTATTTAAATTTGTTTTCAATTTATTACAAGTTACACAATTAGGCAATTTAAGTATGTACAGTCGAACTCGTTTATAACGAGCACAAAGGGACCGTAACATGTACTCGTTAAATCCGAATGCTCGTAATAAACGGGTCCTTAAGGCAGCCGTGCAACCAGAAGAGGGGGGGGGTTGGGAGGTCAAATTATTGAGTTTACATAAAATTGAATTAATACTTACTTACTTTAATTAATTTAATTAAATACTTTTCTTAATTTAATGACAACTATCCCCCCCCCCAACCAGCAAAAAATTTCTAGTTGCGCTACGGTCTTAAAGGAAAGAAGCAATAAACGGAAAGAAAAATAAAGGAAAAGATTCTTACCAAAACATTTATTTTTTTCATTAATCTACATATTTAAAATAGTAGTTTGTTAGCTTACTTTGA